TGCGTGGGTGGAGTGGGGGGGGGGGGGAAGAAACGCGTGTAGGCTATACCATTATCCTATAAACTTACACTTATTGGTTAATTGCCTAGAGGGCCCAGTAAATTAATTGAGAATATATATATTAACATAAGATAGTTTTTCACAACTCTGATGCCATGTCAGCGACTTCATTGATAATGCATGTTATATGAGGAATATCAGTTTTGTGGGCAATTTCACCCTCACACAATATTCTGAAATATCACAGAACTAGAATTTGTGGGTCTGAGGCAGAAGGCTCAGTATGAGCTATTAAAGTGTATGATGAAGTAATAAGCATAGTTTGTGAATTTAAGACTAGAGCAAGGATTTTAAACAGAGTATTTGACCTGGAATGAAGCAGTGAATGAAAGCTCTCCAGCTCCAGAGAACAAATTTGTTTGTATATCATTTTCTTCATCTTCTCTATAACCCAGAAAGCTTGGCAAGGAAGAGATACCGATCTGAAATCTAGTTTTTACCCCCACATTAACTATATAATATATATAGCTCCTTTTGCCCCCTTCGCCAGATAAGTCTTCTAGTTATGCAGTAACTTCACCTCCACACATGAAGTTGAAATATTTACTTGGACTTTCTCTCCTCCCCCCCTCCCCTTCCCGGGGCAGGCCAGCAGGAGCTTTCTCCTTTCCCGCCTCCTGAGGCAGGGGAACCCTGCATAATCCATCTGGTGGCAGGCAAGATGACGAGCCCCAGTCCTGATGGACACTCTTTTGGTGGTAAGGGTGCTCACAGTGATCACTTTACAGTGTAGTTCTCTCCTGTACTCACTGCCTCCAGTGTCACTGAGTATCACACCCCTCTCTTCTTTCTGCCTGCTTCCTTTCTATATTCTGGAAAACTGTCCCATTCCCAGCACATCCCATTATCCTCAAACAACCAAACCCTGACCTTGCTTTAAGTTAGGAGAAGAGTAAGCCGCATACCATATTTGATGGTCCTACCTCTAATTGTTTGGGAGGAATTCTTGAACAGACAGACGCACATTTCTAAAATACATAGATAGATTTTCTCATTCTGCGGAGTGCTTAACTAACAAACTTTTAATACTTACGACCACCGCAACAAACGGTTCCTGAAATTGCTGATTAAGCATCTGAGTACTAACATCAATTCCTGAAAGCCAGCAGCCGTAGCCAGGGTGGCTGTGGTACCAACCAATTGCATTTTCTAGACGACCAACCTATTGAAGTTAAGGGGAGAAAAATACATATTGTTAAAAGTCTCTTGTCTCTGGATAAGATGAAAGTGCGAGTTACCCTCTTTTGGCTTTTAATATACTGCAGATACAATATGAGGAACAAAAAATGCAAGTATCTACATGCACTACTTTGCCTGGATTCAAACCCATACATCTATTAAATAACCTAAGCTTTCTCTAGTTAAAATGTGTTTAGAAGTCATATGGCACAAAGTTATAACCTCACTAAAACTAACAACTAAGTTTATTGCAGGCAACAATTAGTTTTTTCAACATGCAATATCAGTGGTGCATGTTTTTGGATTTATAGAATCCAACCAGTTTTGCCAAATTTAGATCTTGTAACAATAAACTCAAAATACTGAAAAACAATAATACAAGTCAGAATACCCAAAGTGTCTGATGTGCACCTATGGATGTTTAGGCACCAATTTTAAACAAACAGAATCAGGCTTAAAACCAAAGAATCTTTTTACAGTAAAACTCCAATTGTCCGGCATTCAGTGGTCCGGCACCAACTGGAACCTGGAAGTGCAAGTGCTCCGGCCAGCCGGACAATTGAAGCTACTGGCATGGAATGGGGCGGCGAGGGGCCAACCCTCCACCATTTTGCAGGAAGGAGGGGGAAGCCCCACACCACCGCCGAGAGTTTCTGGGAGGGGAATGGGCTCCCCACCCCCCAGACTGCAGTAGTTATCGCCGAGCAGGGGAGCGAGGGGCGGCGCTGCGGGACCAACCTAGCAGCACCCCAGATGCTCTGCTCCACTGCTTGCCAGTTTCAGCCGCTTCCCCAAGTCTGCTGCTGCTGAAACTGACGAGTGGCAGAGCAAAGCAGCTGGGGTGCTGCCCGGGTGGGCCCACAGCGACCGCCCCCACCTCG